AGGCTTAGTAAATACTATAGCTAAAAATACTTTTACCTTTCCCTTACTAGGCGGGTTAAATACATTAGTTAACTTGTTCCTTCTCTTAGTAGATCTATTACTAGAACTGCTTACTACTATAGCCTTAGCTAAGAGTTTTCTAGGAAAATATCTGATTTAGTACAAGACTTTATTAAATCCGCGACTTTTACTATAACTTACTTAGTTCGGTTATTATTTATAACTATAGTAAACTAATAACCTCTGCTATAAGAAAATAATAAGAGACTCGCTATAATAAAGGGTTATCCTAAGACTATATTATTCTTCACCTATACTAAAGTAAAAAAACTCCTTGCTATTAAGATACTTCTGATCTCTATAGTAACTCCCTTATATAACCCCTTAAACTTCTCCTGCTCTCTTAAGTAGCTTATTATTCTAAGATTAGGGTTAAGTCGAATAGGGAGCCCGGCCTTTAAGGTAATTATAGAAGTTATTAGATTAGCTTCTGATCTGTAATTAATAAGCGCTATTATAGTTAGAGAGCTTAGTCGGACTCTGACCTTCGGGCTCCTAATTACTAAGACTTGGGAGTCCTCTAATATCTCCTTTACCCCCGCTAACTTTATTAATACTAGGTTAGTCTAATTACCTCTAACTCCTTTCTTAGAGGTCTAAGGTAACTTCACTATAGCTATATTTTTAAAAAGTAGTTTCTATAGGAGCTCGGAGTATACGAGTACTTCCTTACTAGTAATACTCTTTAGTTTATTATCTAGGACCTTATTTAATAGCTCTAGAGGCTACGCCCCCTACTTTAGGATATTTAAGTACTACTCTACTTTCCTAGTGACTCTCGGACTAACTTTCTTTAATTTCTTAGTCTACTTCTTATCTGTAATAGCACGGTTTAGCGTTAGCTAGCACGTGAGTGAAATAACCACGGATCAGGTGATAACCTCTCTATTAGCGCGAATATCAAGCTGAGGAGCCCTCGATTCCGTGGAGGGCGCTCGAGCCTATATAGACAAATTCCCCGGGCTATTCCCGATTAGGCCTAATTACACTTGACGTAAAACTTGACGTAAACTCCCATAGTAGCGTAGAGCTATTTCCCTTTGCGTATAACTAAGTGGGTAACTGTCGGTAAACCCCTTCAGAGTTAACCGAGCTCTACCGAGTCTTACCGAGCTTTGCCGAGCTCTAGACTCTTCCTAATCAGGTATAGTAAAGAAGTAGTTACCACTACCTTTACATTATCTATCTCTATTTCTTTAATAATCTCTCCTTACTATACTCTTTCTTCTAATACCCTTTCGATTAGATCTTTCTGCTTCTACTTTCTAAGTTATAGAACTTTTAGAGCTACTAAGTCCTTTTCCTTCTTAACTCGCCTCTTTAATACTTTCCTAAGGTTTACTTATTTATTATCCTTTCTACTCTTCGGTTTTTTACTTCTAGCCCTTAATATTCTTATAGCTTCTTAGTCCTCCTTATTTTCTTTAATATCTAACTTATCCTAAGTTACTACCCCTACTACTATTACTTTCACGGGTTCGGCTTTATTTATAGGGTACTATAGCACTTATATCGGCTATACTATTAAACTACTTCCCTTAGCTTATCCTTTACTAGTTTCCTATATTAAGGTTCCCCTCTAACTAGCTTATATACCCTCTATTACTAGGACCTCCTTGCGTTACTTGACTAACTGCCCCCTGCTACTTACGCGTCTATAATATATCTAGCCCTAATAGTTATATATAAGCCCTCTTTCTATATCTATTAGGAAGTCTAAGTAGTCCCTACGGAAATACCTATTTTTTAAATAGTAGAAATATTAGTTCTAGCGATCCTTATAAGTACTTACTATATATACTCTAATTAGTAAGTTATTCGGACGCTAGGGTTAGCTTAAGTAAGTCTCCTATAGCGGTCTAGATAGATTAACTTAACTACCGGGTCCTACTAGGTAAGCTCTTAACTAATTTCCCTTACTAAGTAAGCTAAATCCTAATTTTCCCCTAAGTACTTATAGAGCTCGCGACACTTTTATAGCTAGCGCTAGCGCGTTAAATACCTAGGTTATCTCCTCTACTACTTCTACAGATATAGTCTTTAGGCTAATAATAGGAGGAACTAGCCGACTCTCTGCTTTAAGGGCGATAGGTACTTAGCTAAGCGAATCTACTAATTCACTAAGGCTCTCCTATTTCATACAACTATCGGAAAACTCCCGGATTATCTTATTAGATATATAAATCTTAGTAGCTATCTTAACTAAGTTATTAAACTTAATTATACCTAGCTTATTAATATTAACCTTATTCTTACGTATTACCTTCTTATAAATATCCCCTGGTAGCCTGTTTAAGAATTATACTCCCTAAGTATAATTTTCTAACTAGCCCCTTTTTACTAGGGTAGCTGATATTATAGTGAATTATTAAATAAACTACTTTATATCGCTTTCTGTAGTTCGTAGTTTTAACTTTAGAGCCTTAAGGAATAATCAGGAGTTTATCTATTGAAAAGTATTCTAATCCTTATACTTCTCTAAAAAAGAGACTACTAACTCTTCCTAATTCTTACTCGCTTACTCTAGTAGCGTCTTAATATACTAACTAATAGTGAGATTATAATATCAGGGAAGCTATTTAATTCGGTCTATATCCTTTAATTAAGTATTATCGCACTAATCGGTGTACTATTCTAAGAACTCCGTAATATTAGCTCCCTTAAAGTATAACGCGCTTAGTATACCTAGGGCTAATATAACTGAAATATACCTAACTTCTGCTATCCTGGAATTCGTAGTCCTTAATTCTTAATAGCTTTCCTCCCGGACTTAAATATATTCTACTATATCACTTTCCTTCGTACTTAGTATTCTCTAGTTCTTAAGATCTCTTAGAAATATAATTATATTAGAGAATTTAGTAAATAATTTAAACTTTTAGTACTTACTTATAAGGTATAATATACCTAATATTACTAGAGTTAAAAGTACTAGAGTTACTAGTAGGAGTATAGCGATTATACTCCTTATAACCTCTAGACTTAGCTCCCTTAATTACTCTAACCTCCTTAACCTCTTTTTCTTATATCCCTTTTTCGCTTTACTTTAGGCCCCTTTTTTATATTAGACTTACTTTCTTTTTATATTTATCTATTCCTTACTTATTTTCTTTATATAAACTTTCTCTATTACTATAATAACCTTATCTTCTAAGCTTATCGTGATAACTTTCCTTTCTATACCTCTTTAGCTCTCTTTACTTATATTCCGCTGTTTCCTAATATCTTATCCGCTAAATAAGGGCTCCTTAAGCCCCTTTTTTCTAGCTATTTCCTACGTATCTATCTATTACTATAACTGAGTTACTAAGCGATGAAATTCTAACTCTTACTTTTACTACTAGCTTAGCTGTATCCTAACTATTCCTTTGCTTTACTTCTAGTTCCCTACGTAAGTTACTAATATAAAGAAGTAAGGTAATACTATTAAAGTATATAGTAAGTAGAGACGTAGAGGACTACTAACTAAATAGGTAGTAAGAGTAGGAGAGAGAAGATAATATATTTATTACGCGCTATCGCGCCTATCTATATAACCTTACAGAACAGGCTAACTATCTTCCGACTCAGAACCACACTACCCTACTATACTATTAAAGCTTATATAAAGCTTAACTTACGTAAAGTATACTCTAAGCTTAGATTAGTCTCTATTATAGAGATCCGAGGTGATAATCTTAAGTATATTTTTAGTATTAAGGGTCTTAGTAGTAGCTAGGTTATCACTTAATAATAATCCTTTAACAGAGGATATATTATCTTTATAAGTTAGTACTTCTAATAAGAAGGTGCTTAAAGTATAATAATCTGGTATTTACTTACTATAAATATAGAAAGCTATAGTTAATCTCTGATAATTAAGAGGTAAGTATATTATATAAATAGGAAAATAGTTACTAAGTATTAGAATACTATTTAAAGTTAAGTATAAAGCTCCTATTTAATAGTAGATATATTAGTCTTATATAGAACCTTCATCCTCTAAGGATCCTTATAGATCTTATAATCCTAAGGCTCTAGGAACCTTAGATCCTATAATTCTAAAAGCTTTATACTATTATATAATATATAGTCTTATAATTCCGTTCCTAGTTCTTAGCTTCTCTATGTAGCAAGGCTGCCGAGCCTCAGGGCTAAGACACACGTGATACTCCTTCTAAGTACGTTCGTAATAATAATATAGAGGTATTATTAAAGTATAATAATTTAAAGTATTTTCTAGAGTTAAGTAAGAGCTAGAAAATCGCGAGGGCTAGTCCTATAAAAAATTAATACTAGTTACTGATATTACTATAAAGCTTAGTGACACATCTTATATCAATAAACTAGAAGTTCTTAAGCATCAAAATCTACATCGCCTTCATGAGGCGGAACTAGAGATAAGCTACAGATACCCCTATGATATCGTGGAATTTGATGGATTTGAAAGTAGGTAATCTTTCGCTTGGATAGCAGGAGCTAGATTATATGTTTAATATGTTACAATATATTATTGCTATGGTCTTCTGGCAAGTTTCGGTGGTTAGATGTGGTATATTTCATGTGGGAGGATTTTACCTCTTTCCGACAACGTCCTTCATGACCCAACACGCTCGTCCTTGGGAAATCCATATCTGAGCATGGAGGACTAGACATATCAACTCCCATCCTCTTTAACCTTTCAAGTGTTACCTGCTAGACCTTGTCCTGAGGGACAACATGAATAGGAAGTGAATACGGGACAAGGCGTCGATTCCATCAGACAAACTCTGGAGTGGGCAAATGCATGTCTGCCATCTGTAATCCTAGAGTTCCACTGTTGTCGCCATGAGTATTTGCAGATTCGAAAACACTTTGTTTGATGGTATATATATGCCTTTCCTATGTTCAAAGTACATCGCTAACAGGCTTGAAAATCAAAAACAACTATACGGAACAGCATAACCGGAGATTTCATTACAATGAGTAGCTCATCGATACCCCAACAGTCAGTGTGTACCCATTGAATTATGAGAAACCAGCTGACTTGAGAAGGGACATACCGATTACGCTAGGAATACACCTCGGCTCTTGGCGCGCCTCTGAAGAGGACGAGAAGTATTTGATATTTGGTCATCTTAACGAAAAAGGGGAACTTCTCACTCTCAGTCGCGCGCTTAGTTCTGGCTGCCATGAAAGGGTTGAACTAGATCATGTCACTCTTGAACCACATCTAGCTTCTTTGAAACATGACCCCGGAGCAATCATGGAGTACTGCCGCATCTGCCTAGAGAATCTCAAGGAAGAGCCACCGATTAGCAAATGCAAGGCTGTTTTCGATGCTAAAAAGGCTATGGAAGCGAAGAGGTTGAAGGAGTTGGAGCATCGAAAGGATATCGATCAAGTATCTGCTCAACTAGGCTGGGTTGATGATATCAAGAAGAAGATATCAGAATCTCAGCAGAAAGTGAAGGAGTGAGAACAGATCTCTTGAGCTTTAAGGGAAGTATGTAGCTGAATCGATGGAGGGGAACTTGATAGCAAGAGCTATCTGGAATGCTTACCATGTCACTTATTGCTACCATGAGAGGAAGTCCCTCGTTTCTCGACCATCCCCAGTCGCGTGGATATCGTATTCTATATCCTACTCAGGAAAGACTTTCCCCCTTATTTGTGCCAGAAAGCGCAGTACATTTGTGTTTCCACATCAGCTATACCTTCTGGTGCTTGAACGATTGTGCTTACCCTACTTGATAATGCATTATTGTTGCAAGGGCCACGTAATTATACAAGTTTATACAACTAATTTCCTTTTTACAACTAATTTCCTTTATGCAACAACTGTATATATATACATAGTCAGTACCTCTATAGAATCAATCAATCAATCTACTTGTAACCAGAAGGTTTTGAGTGGCGATTGATATACCTCAATATTGCAGTACTCGTGATACCAAGAGTTATCATTGTTATTGAGGTGGGCTCATGGTTCAATCGCACAAGGAGGGGCTTAAATCGGTTGGAACCCAGCTGGAATAGTCGAAGAGGCTTGAACACTGTGCATCGTTCTACATCGGGGCGAGAAATTTCTGAGCCGGCTCCTATAAACTAAAGTTAGCCCGAAAAGTCGCTTAGTACTTAATAGTCGGTTCCCCTTTGTGAAGCTGCAAGCTCTCGCTTATAGTCGGTAAAAGCAAGTATTACGCGAAAGCAAGTGTTACGCTAGGAATTTTATAGAAAACTTTTGATTTTATAACTACTTATTAGTTTTTTAAATTTTAAATTAGTTATATATATTATTCATACTATTAACTATTAATTATTATATTTTAAGATTATTATATTAATTAAAACTAGATTATTTTACTTTTAAAATCTAAATTTGATTTTCTTTTACTTATACTAATAAAATTAAATAAAAATAAAAACCCTTTTTTTATTTTTACTATTTTACTTATAACTTTTGCGCTTTTTATAATAAACTAATAAAAGTATTATAATTCTAAAGTTTAAGTATAAGGCTTTTTATAAAATTAATTTTTATTATTATTACTTAAGTATTTATAAAGTAATTAAAGTTTTTAATCCTAACGTAACACTTGCTTTCGTATAATACTTACTTTTACTAACTCTACCTAAGTCCTTAAAGGTTAAAAGAGGAACCGACTATTATATTCTTTGCCAGAGTAGCTGAAAAGTCAGCTAGCTTTTAAGTCATTTAGTTAGTTAATAAAAAACTATCAGTTAATTAGTTCAAAGATATTTATAAGTTAATTAGTTCTAATATAGCTAGCTTATAAGCTAGACTTTTATTTTTTAACGATTTTAAAGTGAGGTTCTTAAAACTTACTAATGTATTAATTTAATATTTTACTTCTTAGAAATTAAGGCCCTAAAGTAGAAAAACTATCTCCGATTAGCTAAAATTAGGTAGTCTAGCGCGGTAGGATAATTAAAGCTTATCTTAAGGTTATCTCCCTTATATATTAACTCTCTAACTTTATTTAAATTAATACTATAAATATATCTTACTTTTTAACGCCTTTTAATATTAATAATATAGCCTTAGAGGCTTTTAAAGCTCTATTTACGAGTACTATAAGTACTTTAATCGACCCTTTTATACATATAATAGGTATAAATAAAGAGCTTTTAATAAATACGCCTTAGCTTCTATTTATAATTAAGGACTATTATTAACGACCTATAGTAGTATATAATAACTATTATAACCCTTTTAAGCTAGTAAGAGATAATTTAAAACTAGACTATTCGTTATATTCTTTTAGAGAGCTGTTATTTAACGATAAGCTAGCTAAGGTATTACTTTTACCTTAAGGCTTTAATTTATCGCTTTCTATAAGTATATTAAATAGATTATAACTCTAGAAACTTAGTTATATATTAGTATAGCCTAAGGGAAGTAAGAAACAGACTTTTTAGGCGTATAAACTATATATATTACTTATTTTCTTTGAATCCTTAATATTAATCTATTTAGGTTATTATAACCTTAAATTTACTAAAGGAAAGACTTATATTTTTAATAGTAACTCCTTTAAGAATATAATATAGCATATAGCTTTAGAGTATTAATTAGACTAAGATAGAGATATTAGAAACCTTCTTTTAATTATAATTCAACCTTTATAAGCTTTTAGCTTTATCAGGGATAGTTATAAGAATATTATACTTTTCCGAGAGCTAGAATTTAGAAACGCCTTTATTAAGTAGGTTATAATAGACGATGTTAAACACTATAAAGCCTCTTTTAAGAACCTTCGTTAAATTATTAAAATCGCGAATATTTAAGCTCTTAATATATTACTTACCTCTTATTTAACCTTAAAGCTTTAAGTAGTATAGAAATTTAATTACTTCGAGCTATAGATTATATATAATATTATAGAAGCTTAATTAAAAGTCTCTATATCTTTTAATAGCTAAAGATTACTTAAGGATAAGATTAGTATAGTTGTAATTATTTTATATTATATTAATAAGAAAAAAGAAGCAATTATAGTATTAATTAGCCTATTAGAGCTTTTAAGCTATAAAAAGACTAGTGTTAATAAGCTAGTTCGAATATTTTTTTAGCTTCTCTCCTTTACTAAAAGAATATAAACTAAGCCTCTATTATTCTCTCTCTTCTTTAATAATTCGAAATTAACGAATATAACCTTAGTTAGTTTATTCTTAATAATACGTTAAATAATGATACTATACTCCTAGAGCTTTTAAAAATACTTAATTTCAACCTAAAATAACGCCGGCTTCGTTATATAAGCTATATATTTAATCTTATTGTTAAATAATACTTATTTAGTTAAAATATATTATCTTTTAAGGCTAAATTTAAGAGGGCTAGTCTTAAAAGAAAGAGATAACTTTAGAAGTCTCGTAGAGAACTTAAAAAACTTTATAACTTAATAGTATATATTATAACTTCTAAAAAGCGTAGTATAGCCTTTAATAGCTTATAAGATAAGTTTAATTAAGGTTAGGCCGCTAAAAAGAGATAGAAAGTTATTTTAAATAGTAGTATACGTTAGAATTCTTTATATTTAATAATTATATATACTTTAGCTCTCTATAAGGCTCTTAATACTTATACTATTAAATTAAAGGTTTCTAAAGATACTCTCGATTAAGAGGTATTTTAAGAAGATTATCTTAATAATAACGAATAAGAGACTCTTTAACTAATAGTAGAGTACTTAGAACCTTTTTTTTATCTTACTAAAAACCTTAAAAGTAATTTTAATTAATTCGATCTAATATTATTATTTTATAAAGCTCTCTAAGAGTTATTACCTCTTTTTAAAGCTCTACTCTCTTACTTTAAAGTTCTAGAGGCTAATACGAAAGCAGGTTGATTTAATAGCTACTAAGGCATATAAAAGTTAATTATACTTACTTAAAATAAAACGAAGAAGTTTTATAATAAAACTGATATCTCTCTTATATAAATAGTAACTTTAGTTTTTTACTTTCGCTAGAAATAGTAGTGTTTCGACTAATAATAAACTAGAGATAATATATAATATATAAAAAAAGAGAAAGCGTCTTTATAAAAGCTTTAGGAGATAGAATACAAAGGAGAAGTTATTATATAAGTAAAAGAAAAAACTCTAAAGTTAGAGCTTTAAAGTTATATAAAACTAATTAATTAAAGAGGCTAATACCTCCTTTTATTAATATAACTTTCATAGTATGAACTCTATAACTTTTAAGTCAGAAAGACTAATTAGCCTTATATCTTAAAGAGCCTCTAATAGATTAGCCTCTTTTAGAGTATTAATATTTAAAATAGGCCTAGTAGTTATAACTTATAAAAATAGCCTTTAATTTCTTATATATATTTATTATAAGCTCTAAGTATAAACGTGTTTTTTATTTCATTTTATATAAACTATATTATATAATTCGAGATTATTAGGTTAATTATTATAATATTAAGAGTACTTAAAAAACTAATAAAGAAGAGAGATAGTAGAACTTATAATAGCTTTTAATATAATTAATCTTAGAAGAGAGTTTTAATATATATCTATTTTTAAAATCAGCTTTTAAGTAGTTTTTAAGCTCTTTAGTTTAAGCTATTAAGCTATGATTTCCTTATAAGCTAGTTAGTTCAGTAAGTTGTTTAGTTAATAGCTAACTAATTAACTTTTCGGCTACTCTGGAAAATCCTTGCCTTATTCACTAGCCGTCATTGTAAGACAGGCCTCAGGTTAGTATGAACGGAAGATCGAGAGTTTGAATTGCTCTTACTAAACCTATCCTGTATATATTCGTTTCTGGACAAGATCTTGTCTCGTCGAAAACCTCAAGACAACATAATGTGGTCGATTAACGGTTCCCGTTTGCCAACTAGTGACTACCAAACTACCAAAAGCCTTGAGATCTCCTCTCCTGGACTACTGTAGGTCAATAGGAGAAAGAAATTTTCACTGTGACGAGGAGACCGCGAGTTAGTGCAAGCGGTTGGTGGGATTTGGCATCTCAGATCTGCCTTTCGTTTGCCTGGACCCGCTGGAGACAACGAATCTCCGATCCCCTGCCACGTTGGGAATATTACTCGCACATCTTTACGGAGTAGATCATCTCCATTGCACGAGTGGTAAGGACTAAAAAACCTGAGTTACCCGATCGTCTGCAGCTGGGCCAGCGCATGTGCCGTGGTTAAGGTCTGATTCGCCGGATGCCCCAGGGCCAGGGCGCCAGGCCGGAGGAAAATCACAGGAACATCACAGCGCATCCCGCCGTGCCGTTCGTTGGCTCGTCCACCCCGGCACATTGAGTGCCATTGCAACGAGGGTTACAGTAATTATGAGGTCGCGGACCTGTCCCACCTAATTTTTGCAAATTAGGTGAGGTACAGCGAAAACACGATTTTAGCGAAAACACGATTTGTAATACATTGCTCTATAACTACTTAAAGAAATTTAAAACAGTTTAATATATAAGTCTTTTATA